TAATAATATAATATAAAAATAATATAAAAATAAAAAAAGAGGACAATAAAATTTTCAGTCATATTTCCTTCAAATAAAGAAGTTTTGAAAATAACATCCCTTAAGGCTCCAAGTTTGTTATGTTTACAGTAAGCGTAAAGAATAAAATGCAACTAAAATTAACCTATAAGGTAAATATTTAAAATTTTAATTTTTGTATCTCGATAATCACCAGAGAAGGGATAAATACATCTAATTTTCTGTATATATCATTGTGGGATTTTGCTTGGCATTTTCTTGAATTTTGCTATGATTTTGTTACTAATCTTTCTGAATTTGTTGTATGGTTAGTTATATAAATGAGAAACCTTCTAACAATAGCTATTGACTCTGTTATGTTGCTGTGTTAAAGCCAAATCCTTCTCCCGTTCCTGCTATAGCCAAAACCTACTCTCAGAAAATTAGATTATGTGTATGAGACAGAGAGCACCATATAAATAATCACTTTTGTATTTTCTTTTTTGGCTACAGTTACACAATATTTTTCCTGCTTCCAGTGAGGTAGAATCTGGCCCACTAAACTTCTATAGAGAAACTTCACTGTTTGTTGATATAAGTGAAAGCGTGTAAATACATCCAGAAGTGTATTTACAGGAAAATTATTTAGCTGCACCAGATGTTTTTACACTAGCCTGTACATGACAGAATTGTTTTGATTCTCAGATGGACGCCCTGTGGGTACAAGAAGTGTGAAAGCACCTGTAACAAAGATACCTACTGCCATGCCTGGTGCCCAGAAAGTGCCACTGTGTGACAAGTGTGGGAATGGGATTCTGTAAGTTGTTTCTTTTCAGTTTTAGAAATCTCTAGTTCAAGTACATGTCCTCAAACACTACCACAGACTACAGGAATGCTTTCCAAGTGATGGTCTTGGTCTCTGTCTGCACTAGTAGCAAAATGGTTCTTGAGAACGGAGATATAAAAATATATTGTTCTAAATCCCAAATTATTAACCTGTACCTTAGACACTTTCGATACTGATTATTTCAGTTTTGACAATATATCATCAAGGCTTTAATTAAGATTTCTCAGGACCTTTTGCAAGTCAATGATTAACAAACACATACTGAAACCAGCAGTTACTTGTGCTGCATTGTCTCAGGGTGTGAATTCTCAAAAGTTTCTTGGTAGTGTAAAGCATCCTTCTCCCAACCCGGTGGGAGTATCCAGAAAGCTCTGTGGGCCTACTTTAAAACTACCAGATATCTATCTGAATGACATCACTAACTTCAGCAAAGAACACAGATAATGATGAGCTCAGGGAACACAGTCACTGAGGAAAATAAATGTGGGTTTTAAACTCATTTTGTCACCATTTTGAAAGGTTAGTCTGTACTTTCTGTGTTGTAACCAAACTAATATGTTTCTTCAAACTCTATAGTTTTTCATTGAGCTATTGAACTATGTGATCAGTTCTACAGCATTTTATGTCACTTACTCAAACCCAGCTTCCAACCTTAAATTATGTAGCAGTTGGCAAAACCACCAGACGAACAACCTAAAAGCCTTAAGATAAATACCTAGAACTTACTTTGTATCATACTGTAGTTTCTTCTCACTTTAAATTCATATGAATTAATTGTTTTCTTCTTTTCATTGTTTCCATATAGAGGAACAGTGGTGAAGGCACGTGATAAATACCGGCACCCAGAATGTTTTGTGTGCTCTGACTGCAATCTCAACCTGAAACAAAAAGGCTACTTCTTTGTGGAAGGCCAACTCTACTGTGAAGCTCATGCACGAGCTCGCATGAGGCCTCCAGAGGGATACGAAACAGTTACCGTCTACCCAAAATGCTAGTCTTCCGTTAACACACAAATACATGCATGCACACAAAAAGCCATTAACAGCTTAGAACTGCAGTACAAGAGCCAGGACTTCTTGCCTGACTCCGAAGTAGCAGCTTTTAAACCTTTTCTTGAGGGATTCTGAGGGAGGTGGAAGTCCCTATTAGCCAGCAGTAGCATATTATACCAGTAAAATTCTGCTAAAATATTATCTTTGAAGTTACCAATATAACACAATGAAGTATAAACTAAAACATCTGTACTGGAATAAAAAAAAAAAAAAAACAAAACACCAGAGGTATTACATGATTGCTACAGCATATACATAAGCACTGTAATCAAGACATTACTTTTAACATAAATTAAGTATTTATGCAAACACCTAAGCCAAAGTGTTGCAGGCTGGTCCCTAAAAAATGTAGAAACTTGACAGATCATTAGAAAAGAAGCTATTTTGTATGGATAGTACAAAACAAGCAGTTGTTCATAGCTGCTTCCACCACCTAGTATTCAACTATCATTAACGTATGCCAAAAATAGATTTTGCTTACTTTGCTTTGGATTTGAGGTTATATTGACTTAATTTTCTGATGCAGCAACCATGAAAAGGAATAAATATCAAGTCATACAGTAAAATGGGTAGTATAATAAAGACTGTTTAATAAGAAGCAAAACAGAAGTTCTACTTTTTTTTAATGATTTGCAATGAAATCAGCTTTCATATCACTTAACAGAAAATTGTTCTGAGGCATGCACACACATACACTGTTTTTTGGAAAAAAACCCAACACACTCTAATTGGAACTCACTGCAAATTGAGAATGAAAGTAAATTTAGAAACCTTTCTGCAGAAAATGGTACTGGTTTTCTGCATCTCCATCTTTCAATCTCCATAATAGAAACAATGGGGAAATATCATCATAATATCTTTATTGATGATAAATTAAAACTTGGACAACTTTAAAAATAAATGTTAATTAAAATATGCAAAGGAAAGATTTTTATAAAAACCCTGGTGAAGTCCTAATAAAAGGCTGAAAGAATACAGTTTTTAAATCAATTTCTGAAACTTTTTAAGGGCTACATTGCTTTCAGGTAGCTGCCAGCTACATATACACACCTGACTGAAAAAACAAACCTTAGCATTTTCAAAAAATATCAGCACAATTTATAAATGATTTATTGGGTTATTATAAACCCACTTTAAAGTAGAAAAATCTACAAAGTTTTATATCAAGTCTACAAGACTAGATGAAATTAACAACTCAGTGGCCAACAATCTTGTATGTTTTTCCCATTCTACAATATAAGAAGCTTAAAATGTAAGATGGATATTGAATCAGAATAAGAAGCTGTACACACTTAAAATTTATTGTAAAAAAATCAGATGAGTCCTAAAGCTTGAAATACAATGTCCACATAATCAAAGACTTTTCAAAATGTCTTAAAGTATTATTTCAGAATTTAAATGTTTTAAAAATGTGTTTGTTAACAGCATTTATGATTTATGTCTTCATATCAAAAGTAGACATTAAAAATTGTTGCACCCTTTCAAAGATTAGTTCCTGAATTATCTTTAGGCACAAAACATAATTCTGCTCCTCAGGTATCATGGAGGCTATGTGTAGCATTTCTATTTTTCCACTAATAAAGCCCATAAAATAAATCTGAAAATCCTTTTGAAACTGAGAGTGCATATAATGTCTGTTTTTACAAACTAAACGTCTTTGGTGTTTTAAAATATTTGCTTAATGTTCATTTCTTGGTGGAGTAACTGAAGGTAAAAATAAATCTACTACATATGATAAAGATTCTGTATTTCTCTTCAACTGGTATGAAAAATGAGAAAATGAGTCAAGTGACTTCACTATAATATTAGTTTGGCATTTTCAGCCTGACAGAGGCTTATGCTTCATGCTTATCAAACCACTGGCAAGAACGAAACACAATTTTTATATTAGGCATTTGAGTATATAAGCTGGGCAAAATTAAACTGAATGAGATCATGTGCTTTCAAAACTGAAGACCCCAAACTGCTCTCTCTTTAACAGGCCAAACATACCAATTGTAAACATGAGGAAACTCAGAAATGCACGTACAAGAACTGTTAGGTTAAAAGAAAGTCATACAACATGACCTGATGCCAAAAGTTTGAGGAAAGTTCAGTGGTATTGCATCATCACTTGGTGCTATTTTGAGAAACCTGAGGTTAGATACGACTTTGGTCGAATTAGAAGGTAAGCCTATCTAATTGCAAGTACTGATCTACGTGAAAATCTTTACACCAATATAACATACAGGAAACAAAGATTTTCGATTAATGCAGATTCTAAAACCCTTGATCCTGATAGAGGAGAAAAACAGGAAATCTCACCCTACAGTCACTTCAGTCTGGGGGAACTGAATATAGAGATTTAAGTGTGAGAGAAAGATACAGCAATTCTCTCTGTCGTGTGCTCAAGCCCAAATTCATCTCAGTAGGGCGTCAGTGGTTCCTGGCATAAATCCTTTACAAAGTGTCCAGCTAAAGAACTATCCACTGTATCTTCTGGCTTAAGAACAGCATAGACTGCAAATTATGACAGCTTAATGCTACTGCGCCTCTCAGCTGTGTCCAGACTTTCTTATATGTATATTATAAGCTGAAGGGAGCCATGGCATTTATTTTTACATGGAGAAAAAGATAGTAAGTGTGACTTCACATGCTTGTTATCTTGACTTTTCAGATGTTGGTCAACAGGTGTGAAAAGCTTTCCTCAGCTATGCTACTGCAGCATAAACAGCAGGACTGTTCTGGGAGATGTTAAAAACTTACACAAAACCACAGTTCTCCAAATGAGTAAGCCAAGAACTGTGTCTGAAAACACACATACTAATTTGTATGGTACTTTTGTATCAATTGTTCCAGGACAATTGCTTTTGGACTTTTAAGTAACGCTGAAGTGTTGCCAACAATTTGAAACCTAAAAAGTTCTGTAAAGTAGTTAAAAGAAACTATGTTGCTTCCATCAACTCAATAACTTTTTTCAGTTTTTCAACCACATTTTATCACTTAAAAAATTAGACTAACACTTTTGTTCAGATCAGAAGTGTGCTATCGAAAGTAAACTCCCCATCACTCCCAATTCCTGCATTTTGGTTCACATCACACAACAGCTTCAGAGTGCACAAAGTGGTTTTCTTTACAATGAAATTCAACTAGAAGATGATCTCTGGGAGCACTGCTCATGCACGTCAACCACTAATGGGAACTCAGTCCATAGAACCAAACTAGAGCTAAATAGCCCCTCCCTGAAACACATCGTAGGTAGATGCCAGGTCCTCAATACCAACTAATATGCTCCAACTGCACCACGCTGCCTGTTAACACAGGTATAGCTTGAAGCATTTCTTGCAACTTTCATAGAGAAAAAGTTTCTTAACAGAAATCAAATTACTGACTGTTTAAAACTAGATATATCTTGTCTCAGAATTTGGACTCGGCTTCAGATGTTTCGAAAGTCAGAGGGGTTTGATAAAGAATTTTGGTTCAAACTTCTGTAAACCATATAAAAGGGAACAACTATGCAGCTGGGTATGGATCTGACTTGCATGTAAAATGCATGGACTTGATATAAACTCTATTTTGGGAGGGCTTTTCACAAGGACAACATTATTCTTTACCTAGTGGCTTAATACATTTATGGATAAAATGGTGGGAAATAAAACATGTTTGTTGGCACGTATCCAGCAAATATTATCTCTAAAGGCAACCATAGTCTGCAGATTTGCCCCTTTGTGGTTTTTTTTCCTCCTCTCATCCAAGCAAGCTATTCAGATAGCTTCTTTTGAAATTGTTAACAAGAAACTTCCACAAGCAGATTATTCCTTTTTTTCTCAACACACAAAGTTTTCAACTAAAATGCATACAATAAGTCTTCAGCATATGCTCAGCACCACCAACTAAAATCTTTGTCTCCACAACATACGCTTGATAAGTGGTATTACCTACACAATGTTCAAGTTCAAAAAGGATTTTGTTTCTATATATGGTAAAGCACACATTTTGTTTTAGCATACTAAGCAAGTGTTTTCAGTCACACTCAGTCTACCTAATCCTCCCTCTCCCCAAACCAGGGCATGATCCAAAGCCCAGTAAAGCTTTTAGGAGAGTCTTGAAAGATTGTATATTATATTACTCAAAAAAACATGTTCTTTTTGGCACAGGCTAGGAGAGTTGTCCAAAATAAAACATTAAAGAAACACTGTTTCATATAGTTCATGTGCTGACAAAATTACAGCTGTGTTGGAGGGACAAATCCAGAAAAAAAGAAACTGTAGATTTATTACTCAGAAAAAAAAATATTCAG